GCTCCACCCATCTAAACTATTCTGCTCAACTTCCCATGCTGCCCTGACTCACCTGACTTCGCTCACATGTGCTGTCTCTGTTGTCAGCACAGACTGGTCAAGGCCAACTACAAAGTGGGCCCCTCCCCTCCAAAAGGGCCGATCTTACCTGAGAAATCTTAATTCTACAGCACCAGTCAGGACTTCTCATGGCAGTATTTTGGATCTTAGTGCCTGACTCTCGTTATTAAGGTTTGGGATTTGTATTTTAGCATTCTGTGCACCTACTGTAGTGCCTTGGTTTGCAACGGACATTTGAAACAAGTCATAAATGAACAATTAAGGTCATCGAAAATTAGCATGTGGGTGAATGATGTTGAAAAAGTTATGTTACACAAATAGTAATTTTAAATTTACATCTGAAGCTTTTGGAAGTATGTGCTATTACTCCCTAATATTGTACATGAGGAAACAAACTGAGATTACTTATTTGAATATACCCAAGGTTAGCATTCGCAATGACTGTGGGAAGCTCATGATTTCGTTCAGGAGAGTACAGAAAGGTTCAGTAGACATTCTGCAATCTTCAAATCTATTAGTGGGTATGTTACACGACTTCTTTTAGGAATCCACAGTAAAATGGCAATTTGGTAAAGAAAAGGTTTGTAAGGTAACAGAAGTCAAGCTGGGTGTGGGGGCACACACCTGTAATCTCAGTACTGAGGAGGCTGAGGATTTCGTGTCTGAGGAAAGCCTGGCCAACACAGACGTCGTCTTAAAAAAACTAAATGAATGAACAAATGAATAAATATATGTTATAATGATCTTAAAAATTCTTTTCCAGTGCCTGACAGTACTGATGGAGACAAATAACAAGTCTTGAATGAAGTCAGACTGCCCAGGTGGAAAAGAAAATGATGACCAAGATTAAGGATGCAAGAATCAAGAGTGTGAAAGAGAGGCAACTGTAAGTCAATTTATTTGTTGAGCACTGTGGTGCACACCTGAAAGCCCAGCACTCTAGGAAGCTGAGGGAGGAGGATCACAGCCTAGGCAATTTACCAAGATCCTGTCTCAAAATGAAAAACAAAAAAATCAGTAAACAGAGCTGGCCAGGCTTGGTGGTACATGTCTATAATCCCAACATTTGGAAGGCTGAGGCAAGAGGATCACCTGGGCTACATAGTAAAGCCAGCCTGAACTACATGGTGAGGAATCTCAAAAAAAAAAAAAAAAAAAAAAAAAAAGAAAAAAAATCCAAAACAACCCCTCCAAAAAAAACCTAAGAGGGGGAGAAAGTTAAAAAAAAAAAGTCTGGGGGATGTTCGATCCTCAGTACTCTCCCTATTTTTTAAGCTCAGTTACTGCTGCTTTTATTTTTTGGTATTGGGAACTGAACTCAGGACCTTGTACTTGCCAGGCAGGCACTGTGCTGTTGAGCTATATCCCCGGTCCCTGCTTTTAAAATTAGTTAAAAGAAAATTTAATCTAAAGCCACCTCATTAAAAAAATTGAACAATTAAACTTTAAAAGACTGGCTTTTGCTCCCCTTCCAATCTTGCTAGGGTTAAGATTCTAAAAAATCATGCAGGGGGCTGGGGATTTAGCTCAGCGGCAAAAGCACCTGCTTGGCAAGCGCAAGGTCGTGAGTTCGGTTCCCGGTACTGGAGAAAAACCAAAAAAAAAAAAAAAAAAAAAAAAAAATCATGCAGGAGCTGGGCACAATGGTACAAGTCTGTAATTCCAGTACTGAGAAAGGCTGAGGCAGGAGGATCACAACTCTGAGGCCAGCCTGGGAAATTTCGTGAGAACTTAGCTCAAAACTACCAACATCAAGACTGGGGATGTAGCTCAGTGGTATGCCCCTGGCTCAACCCCCAATACCAGGGTAGGCAGGAAATCCTATAGAAACAAGGATAATCATTTGAAAAGCTTACTCATATTCTCTCCCTACAAAATAGTTCTTTGTAATGAATACAATCACGGTAAATAGCACAAACATCCATCCAGTACCACAAGCCATAAATTTAGTTATCCTTTACGCCTCCCTCTCTTCACAGTAACAGTATTTTTGGGAGATGGGGTCTGCCATTTCCCAAATTGAGTCTTCAATTCCTGGGCCCAAGGATTCCTGCCTCAGCCCCCTGCGTAGCTCAGACAAGCACATACTACCATGCTCACGCTCTCTTGCTCTGCATCTAACCCACTAATGGACCACAAGTTGGAGGCCAGCCATGGCTACACAGTGAGTTTAAAGCCAGGGCTGAACTACATAGTAAGACCCTGTCTGGAAAAAAAACAAAAAAAAGTGTGCTGGGCTGAGGGATTTAGTTAACAGAATGTCTGCCTAGCATATGCCAGGCTCTGTAGGTGATCACCAGCCAGCACCAAACAAGCAGTAGTGTGTAAGCCGGGCGTGGTGGAGCACACCTGTAATCCCATCACTCGGGAGGCTGAGGCAGGAGGATCATTTCGAGTCTAGGCCAGCCTGGGCTACAAAGCGAGCTCAAGGCCAGCCTGAACTGCATAGCGAGACCCTGTCGCAAAAACACACAAACACACACACACACAAAGTAGTGTGTACGGTAAGCAATAGTGTACACTAGGGAAAGGAGGGCTGGAGTCCTACTGTGTAATTCACTAACCCTAACAGACCAGGTTGCACAATGAGAACAGGAAAGCACAACATTTTAGTTAGGAATGGTGTTGTATCACTGCAATCTCAGCACTCTCGGAACTGAAGTAGCCTATCTCAAAATAAAAGGGCTGGAGATGTAGATCAGTGCAAAGGCCCTGAGCTCAATCCCCTAATACTGGGAGAAAAAAATTATGTAAGTTGCTCCTTCCCACAAGATCAGAAGAAACTGGAAGTCTTTCCTTTCAAGCAGTATAGAAAGCAAACAACCCAGTTTTTTGAACTTGCATAAAAACTAAAAACACTCTTGAGCTAAGCTTGATGGTATATTTCTGTACTCCCGTTGTTTTTAAGAGGCTGAGGGAGGATGATTTCAAGCTCAAGGTCAACCTGGGTACACAGCGCAACCCTGCCTTTAAAAAAATTTTTTTTGGTACTGGGAATCTAACTCATGATCTCCTTCCCACTTGCCAGGCAGGCGCTGCACTGCTGAGCTATCTCCCCAGCCATAAAATTCACAACTCTTTGACAGTTAACTGTTACACTTTTCATAAGAATCTCCAGATATAGAATTGAAACTTGGAGCCGTGACACTTAGATTAATGCTGTCTAACAAGAGTGCAGTTAAATGCCAGGTATCTGAGATGAATCTCTTGATGAGCTCCTTCATCTTAAACACAAATGAGCCTACATATGGACAATTACCCATCTGGCTGTTAGTTCACTAAAAATATATAATTATACTATGTTCCTGATATGATAAATTTAAATTAAGTAACTTTTCTTGGCCAAATAAACAACACTGACCTAAGTTCCCTAAGGGTTTCCTGCCATTGTAAACCTCACAGTAGCTACCTTCATTAAGACAAGCACTCATTAGCAAAGTGAAGGGTTAACTAAAGAACAGTACCACTGAATGAGTCATTACTGAAATGAATGCTCACATTAAATCTGTTATCTATGTATATAATCGTATCACAAATATTTTAGGGGGAGTGGATATACTGGCAATTGAACCCGGGACCTTGTGTATGCTAGGCAACCACAGCCAGCTCAGAGAACACTAAATCTTCCTAAGAATTAGAGACTTTAATTTGCAATCTGGCCACATTTAAAAGACCTTGACTTCTACCATGGAAAATTTTATTTTAAGAGACAATCAAAAATAAACTGTAATACTACCCATGAAACACCATTTCAGTTTTGGTTTTTTGCTGGTACCGGGAATCAAACTCATGACCTTGCGCTTGCCAGGCAGGAGCTGTGCCGCTGAGCTAAGTCCCCAGCCCCTACCATCTCAGTTTTTTGCTTTGTTTTTCTAAGAGCAATGTAGTTTCTTTTTTTTTTTTTTTGGTCTTTTTGAGACAGGGTCTCACTATGCAGTTCAGGCTGGCCTTGAGCTCACTTTGTAGCCCAGGCTGGTCTCAAACTTGCAAGGATCCTCCTCCCTTAGCCTCCCGAATGCTGAGATTACAGGCATGCGCCACCACGCTCGGCCAGTTTGTTTCTTTTTTCAGACAGGGTCTTGCTATGTAGTTCAAGTTGGCTGTAAATTCACTTTGTTGCTCAGACTGGCCTCAAACTCACAATGATCCTCCTGCCTCAGCCTTTCCAGTGCTGGGATCATACATGTGCACCACCACACCTAGCCAGCAATGCAGTATATTAAGTAAAAGTTGAGATGCCACATTAACTTACAGCTGTTAAGGCCAGGCGTGGTGGTACAAGACTGGACTGCTACAAGTCCTAGGCTAGCCTGGGCTACAAAGTGAGCTCAAGGCCAGCCTGAACTGCATAAGCAGATCTTGACTCAAAAAGACAAAACAAAAAACAAAAAAAACCCCAAAAATACAGCTGTTAAAAAGGCAAAAAAAGAAAACTCAAATATTCCTTAAATCCTCCAGTGAATTTACCCATTAAAGAGCTCTGTAACTTTGGGGTGGGTCTTTTATTTAACTCAGCAGTCAAGCATTTGCCTCATACGTGCAAGGCCCTGGTTTCAATCCTCACTGCTGCTCCTCCCACCCCGAAAGCTCTGAAACCCCTTTAGCTCAGTATTAACACTCAAGCCAGGACATAATCTGCCCTTACGAAAACAGAATCCTTGAACAGCACGTTAACTTGATTTTTTCCCCTCCTTCAATAACTGCATGCCACTTCAAACAACTGGAAGAAAACCCGGGAATCACAAAACTGATTCTTGTATTTCTATTCTGTTTCACAAATACCTGCCCCTCTTCCTGTAAAGAACAAAACAAAACAAAACAAAAACCCATCTGAAACTGGGACAATGACAGGACTAAAGAGTCAGCAATATACATAAAATTACTGAAAAGTAAATACACATTGTCATTAGATGTACATCTGGAGAAAAGGAAACCAGTCCTGCTTTTTAATAATTTTATTTTTTTCTAATTTTGTTAATTTCCCATAGCACCTTGGCAATGTTGAAAACATACAAATACAAGGATGTACTCATTTTAACATTTTATGCATGAGCATATGTCATACCATTGGTGGGGTGGGGGGCAGTTTTGACAACAGAAACGAACCTAAGCAATGGATAGAAGTTGGATAATTGGTTCTGATTCACCACACCCCAACACTTGAGAAGCGTCACTTGAGACACGTTTAAAAAAAAAAACAACACTGATGTTGATATTTTTTTCCATATGCTAATCAATTTTCTACTGCAAAACTGTAAATAAAACCATTTAATATGCTGTCAGTAATTGTCTTATGAGTTGTACTTTTAGGAACTATCAAAATCAAAGTCATAAAAATTTCTTAGCTTTTAAGAATAAACATGAAGTTATCAGGTGAATTTCCAAAGAGAATTTACTCTCAACTTAAAAAACAAATTCACAACTTTAAAACGTCAGTTAGCTAATGAAATGGAAATGTCTGTGTGTCTTCTTGAAAGCTCAGTCTAGCAACATTAGCATATACCAAAAAAGTTAAATTAATGGCCACAAAATTGTAAGGAAATATAAAAAATTAGAAAAAAACCCCATCGTATTTTAAGAATTTGTAAAAATCCCTCAGAAGGAATACACCGCTCTCATTTGAGTTTTACCTTTTCTATTAAAAAAACCTGGTACATTTAAAAATATGGTTAATGTATATTGCCAACGCAAATATCAGAGACTTAACCCCAGTGTTGCAGTTTCAAGGTAAAACCAGTGGCTATATAAACCAAGAGACTTAATTATTAAGGCCATAACTAATGCAACTAAAGTGTTCAGTAACTTTTAAATACTATTTTTCTGTTTCAGCAATGTTATTCTTGTTCTCCTTTACACTAGTGATGATGATGCTAACATTCCATCATTAAGACTTCTACAAAGCAAATTTATTTCTTTAAAAAGAAGAATGAGAGGCCAGGGGTTTAGCTCAGTGGTGCAGCGCCTGCCTGGCAAGCTTGAGGGCCTGAATTCGATTCCCAGTGCCCCCTCAAAGAAAAAAGGAATGTGAAACAATATCCAAGCTAGCCTTATTTACCAAAATTAAATTAGACTTCTGCATGTCATTTCATCACCTGCAAATTAAGCAAAAAAGACAACAAACCCATATCACTGAAAGGTCTTATCTTCCTTCAAAATGCAGTTGAGAAAGTAATTTAAATGGATCACTATTTTAAATGCCAGTGGCTATATTTGGCAAAACTAAGATTATTCAGATTAGAGACTGATTCTAGATACTATGAAAATCTTAATTACCAAAACAGAAAATGGAGACAGGTTTTACAACGCCCCTATGTACCTTCTCTTTGCAGTGCAAGGTGACGAAACTGTGTGGCTTTTCTCTTCATGCAGTAAGAACTATGGCAGGTCACTGTACCATATTCATTATCATTTCTACCTACTTTGAGGTTTCAAGAGCCCAAGGAAATGTTGAGCTGTAAGTGTGAAGAGAAAAATTTGATATTTAAATTCCACCATCTAAAGAACCAATAAATAGTTGAACTAGAATAAACACTCACCCTCATCAGAGTAATGCTGCAAAAAAGTCAACAGTATCACATAACTCACAGGCATCATTTGGATACAAACCTTAAATCTGCTATAATAAAATAAACACTAAATACAGACTGTGAATATATATATTTTATACACATACACACGCACATACATTCTTCCCTATATATCCCATCAAATGGGAACTATTACACGTAATGAGGCAAGTTATTTTAAAAATACTACGATTTCAAACAAATTAAAAACTGGTCGTGTCGTTAAACTTCTACTTTCAATGTCTAGAGAAAAGAAAGAATACATTTACTTCCTTTAAAAAACACCCCTTTCCTGTGTTTCAGTTAGAATCTTCAGGACCAGGGTTTTACAGTTCACTGGCGAAGCCCTTAGCTAGCATGTGGTGAGGCCCTGGGTTTGTTTGATCCCGAGCACCACAAACAAAGCAAAACAAAACAGAATCTTTAGATATATAGAACTTGGTGGACTAACAATAAATCACACAAGCATACAAGTAATCTGAGCCTACACCTGTGACACGCTGCAGAAAAAACAGGTTTCATTTTAAATGCAGTAATTAAGTTTATAATCTTTACAAGTGATTTTTACAAAAAGTTTATTCTCTTAAATCCAATGCATTCACAGGGTGTTAACATTTTAAATGTTTATCATTTCCACCAACTGCAGCATTATCTAAGTAAATCAAAATCACTTTTATCATAGATGTAGCCAATGATTATTAATTCTTTTTTTAAAGGACCTAAACTCCAAAATTGTAGCACAGGTAGTTTATTGTTTCATCTAGTAGATGATTTTTAAAAATAGAATGTAGAAATGAATAGTTTCAAACTATGTAAATATATTATGCCATTTTATCAATCCACTAAATCATAAGCAACTGCCAAGCTGAATAAGTTACAAATAATAATTCTGGCGTGAACAGAAATGTGCAGTGTTTTCCAAGCTCTCAACAGTTACCCACTAACAGAAATCTCCAAAGCTGAACCTAGAGTTGGAAGATGAATTTCACAGTAATGTAATTTTACCTCCTTTTACATTCACTTTAATATATTACTAAGATGTTTATATTCTATGTCACAATGGTGCTTTCCAGTGTTCACAATTTACAGTTTCAATTTGTACATATGTAAGTCACTAACATAAGGGACAGTTCTATTACAAACTATCCCCCCAAAAAAGAAAAAAAGAAAACCACACCCTACACAGAACTCTGAACATGGTATGACTCAAAACAGATTAATGTAACATGATTTTTAATATTTTAGTCATTTTCTAAATACCAGCATGTAAACTTCCCTATTTGATATGACAGCTACAATTTTATTCACTGAAAAATTATGCATTCATTTCCTTCAATCATTTTTCCTATCTTATCTTAAACTATCTTTGACTTCCTTTTTTTTTTTTCTTTTTTTTGGTACTGGGAATTGAACTCAGGGCCTTGAGCTTGCCAGGCAGGCGTCTGTGTTACTGAGCAATATCCCTGGCCCTGACTTGCTTTTTCTGATTCAGTGAATTTCAAACTTTTTTTTTTGAAAAGGGGACTAAAGGAGGGTAATAAACTAAAGACAAAAAAAGTTCTCTAATCCTTTAAAATTTTTTCTCTTGAATACAATTTAAACTTTAAAAAAGTTACAAATTGCAAAAGAGGCAGCTGGACCTACAAATCTGGGACCTACATTTCTAAGTATGAGAACAGAAGAATAAAATACTTCATTCAATTCCAAAATTTACAATAGTTATATGATTTGACTAGACTGGTCAAAGCAGTCAGAAATGTACAATTTAATAGGTGATTGGTTATTCTGCTTCTGAGGATGGGCAGTCAAGGAACAGAATGACACATGAAGTAAAAAGAAAAAATTCTACTTCCCATCTGAAGAGGCGGGCATGAATTCAAATCTCTGAAATCCATTTGACTTGTTCAGGTCAACAATGAAATTTAAATTTATTCTGAGTAACCCTATTCCTTCCTTGAGCATCAAACTGATTGGTAGTCACATCTCCAAGTACAGTCAGTGCTTTAACAGCTTGTTAAATGAAATATTAGTAAAGTCAAAAAGACAATTAAATCTCAAACTAAAATCTACTCAAGTATTACATTCAGTTTTAAATCACTTACTCCCATGACAACAATTTGGCTGAAATCACTCTCGCACGCGCTCCCACCAACAACAGACACCCAGCCACCCACCTGCTTGGCACCACAAGGCCATGTAGTCGGAGATGGCATTCTCAAAGCCAAACTTTAAATAGATTAAAAAAAGTAATTTCTAATTTTTACAGAAATGCTTCTTCAAAAAATATTTTCTCTCATTCCCTCATCTCCTATACTGAAGGATGAATGGTTCTCCCCCAAGCTAAATCTGAACCCTCAAAACTGATTCCAGGCAGAAAATCTCTGAAAATTAAAATCAAAAACAAAAATAGAAAAATTATATTTTTATATATGTGTATATATATATATTTATATATGTATATTTATATTGATTAGAATCCTCCAGCATTTAAAAATCACTTTAGAGATGAATTTTGGGATCCTACAGCTCACAACTCCAAAATCCGTAATGATTTAAGGACATACTTTCTATATCCTTCCTGGCTACTCCTTCCCCTCCAAAGCAGTTCAAACAGCCGTGGCTCAAGTTTAATGGGAAGAGAGTGTTTTTGAGTAGTTTCTGTTTGGTTTTACTTTGGTGATCTGGGTGGCACATATTGTTCTTTGCCGTTACGTCGAGTCACTCCCTGAGGTAGAGCCCTATGGCTGAACTGGCGTCTCTGTTCCCTGATTTTTCCAGCAGCTCCCTTAGGGATGGTACTGCCTCGGAAGCCAGAATAATCCTTACTAGCCCTTGCTTCTGGCTTCTCCTGTGGTTTCTCAACAGACTTCTCAGGAGCTCCATTCTCTTGGCTCTTGGTGGGAGACACTGCATTGGAGCGAAGTTCCTGCAGGGGCTGCACAAGAACTGGAGATGGCTCTTTAGGAGGTTTCTGGCATACTTCAGCATAACTTAACTTGCGGGGTTCCTGGAAGGGATAAGAAAAAAATTAGTGATGAAGTATCCTAAATGCCTAAAAAAGAAGACCAGATTAAATTTCAGCATAGTAGGAGACTGACACAGGAAGATAGCACATTTGACTCCAGCCTGGGTAGCTTAGCAACTTAGTGAGACCCTATCTCACTAAAAAATTAAAACGTGTGTGTGTGTGTGTGTGTGTGTGTGTGTGTGTGTAAATGTAAGTGTAATGCTGGGAATGTAGCAAATACAATGAGTGGCCTCTATGGTTTCCAGAGATTTGTTCAGTGTGATACATAAAACAAAAGTACTTTTAGGAGGGTTGAGGTATCTTTCCACTATCTTAAAAATGATAAATTCACCACAATCTGAATAGTAAGTTTCCTTTAAGCATAATACGATCAAAAAAAGCAATCAAAAGAAGCTGACAGTAAAGTCTTCACTCCCCCATCTGTGTAAATGTCCCATCTCTTCAGTGACCTTAACCTCCTTTAGCTTCTTTCTAATGCAAGCAGTTCTAATTGGGCTACTTCCAAATGACACTGCTCCAAAAAAGTGCCAGGTGAAAAAAAATTATGTATCTCCAATCTATTATATATTTTTCTCATACACCAAACTTCTGAGTTACCTGTAGGGGCACAGCTGTGGGTACATTTATGTTACTATTACATGGTAAAGCTGTATTCGCTCTTGATGGCTTTGCAGGACTCGGGGTAGAAACTGGTGTAGTCATCTGATTGAGAACATCCTTCTGAACAGTGGAATCATTTATTGTATCCTTTTCTTGCCGAGTTGTGCTAAGAAAAAAGCCCAGCAACAGACTTAGTAGAGTACACAGGAACTGCTGCACTACTGCTAAGAAAAAGTAAGTTAATGTCACCTTTTATACTGAAACTTGTACCTTAACACAGGAAGTTCAGTTGCACATGGAGGACTGGTACTCATACTGAGTTGCTGGGCTGAGGTGCAGTCTGTCTGCTCATCCTCTGCAGGCACTGGGCCACTAACTCTCAAATCTTCATCCTCCTTAAAGTAAAAGATAGCTCAAAATTACTTTTAAGCATTATCTCAAAAAGATACACAAATGGTCAATAAACACATGAAAAGATGCTTAATTGTACATTAAGGAAAGGTAAATTAAAACCACAGTAGAAAACTACTTTATGGGGCTGGGGATTTAGCTCAGCGGCAAAGCGCCTGCCTGGCAAGTGCAAGGTCGTGAGTTCGGTTCCCAGTACCGGAGAAAAACAAAAAAAAAAAAAAAAAAAAAAAAGAAAACTACTTTATGCCCATGAAAATGACTGTAATAAGTAGGACAAACTTTAACAAATGTTGGTGATGATATATGAATACTGGAAATCTAACCTTGAGTGTAGCAATGTGTTACGGTTTGTAGCTGCATGTCCCCTCAAATCCTCATGCAGTCATGGTGTGGGCTTCTAGATTTTTGATTGATCCATAGTCCAATGCTAGGATTATGAGTGTGAGTGCTACACCTGCCCTGGGGCAGGTAGTTTGCATACAATGTAAGGGAGGGAAACAGGCTGCTTGCCGCTGCCATTTCCTCCTTTTTCTCTGGCTGCTTTTGCTGTCTTGGGCAGCCATGAATGGCTGCCCTCTGCCATGTGCCACTGTGCATTGGAGCCAGCTGAGTATGGACTGAAACCTCCACAGACTGTGAGCTAAATAAACCTCTCCTTCCTTAATTTTGGGTGTCGGGTATTTTGTCTCAGCAACAACAGAAAAGTAACCAAGACACAATGTAAAACAATACAGCAGCTTGTTTGTTTTCTCTATGTATGTATGCTTATTTGTTTTGTTTCTTTTTTTTTGTACCAGGAATCGAACTCAGGACTTTATGCTTGCCAGGCAGACACTTGTGCCGCTGAGCTATATCCCCAGCTGTTTCGTTTTTTTTTTTTAAGACAGGGTCTCACTATGTAGTTCAAGCTGGTGTCCTGAACTTGTAGCAATCCTTCTGCCTCAGCCTTGAGAGTGGTGGGATTACAGGTGTGTACCACCATGCCCAGCCTATATAGCTATTTTAGAAAACCATCTGGCAAATCCTTTTAAAAAGTCTACACAAATGTTCATAGTAGCATTATTCATACTAGTCAAAAAGAAGGAAAAGGAAAAAAAATAACATTACATTTTTTGTGGTACTGAGGATCAAATGTGCACTCTAGGTAAGTTGCTCTACTACTGAGACACATTTCCAACCCGGAGAAATCACTTCTAAAAGAGAAGTCTACCTGAAGATAAACTACTGATTAAGTGACACCAAAATAAATTTTTAGAATTCAAGATCAAGCTGGGCGTTGTAATCCCAGCACTCGGGAGGCTGAGGCAGGAGGATCGTTGTGAGTTCGAAACCAGCCTGGGGTACAAAGTGAGCTCAAGGCCAGCCTGAACTGCACAGCGAGACCCTATCTCAAAAAGATTTAAAAAAAAAAAAAAAGAATTCAAGATCAAGAAATTTATACCTCATAACCACTTATTTAGGAAACAATGGAAGACACAGGCACTATAATACTCAAGAATAAAACTAAAAAGAGAAGAAAAGGAGATCTAATAAAGGAGACTAAGGAAAATTCCTAATACACAAGAAGAGGTTGGACATGGTGGCACGTGCTGAGGCAGGAGGACTGCCATGAGTCCAAGAGTAGCTTAAATTACATAGTAAGACCCTGTCTAAAACGAAACAAACAAACCACAAAAAAACAAAAAGCAAGAGAAAATAAACAATCACAGAATATGTGTCAGCTATGAAAAAAATACATATTACTCAGTGTCTTACAAACAATGGCCTGTTCCAGTCTGACTTGCAATGCCTTTTGATTAGTGATACTAAGTTTAAAGCAGCTGTATGCTGGCCGTGGTGACACATGGCCATCACCCCAGCTACCTGAAGCTGAGCAGGAAGATCTTAGTATTACCTGGTGGGGAGTGGAGGATCTCAACTATAAAACCTAAAGTCAATAAATAATGTCTAAAATTGAAAGAGAAAATTTAAGTAAGATATAGCATCACTTGGTGAAAGAACCACACTGCATGCCTCGATGCTTACCTTTTCTTTGCAGACACCTTTAATAACATCAGACATTCTATTCTCCAAAAGGAGTTCACCTGGCATTCTTGATGAACTCCCAGGTAGAGGAGGAAAATTTGAAGCTAATAAGTCAAACTTTGGTGTTGGAGACTTTGCTTCAGATGAAGGATGGGGTCGCTAGAAGATATAAATCAATAAACGGTCATATGCCTATCATATCTGCTAATTCTTTGCCATAGAAGCTGTAAACTGTAAGAAAACAAACAAAAATACCTCTACCTAATGCACATAACTCTTTCCCTATAAATTCTTAGCTTCTCATCTTGGTTGAGCTTTCACTAGTCTTCACCAGTCTGATGCACTGCACCCCCTTCTGAGACAGAGCATTGCTATGTAGCTCAGCCTGGCCTTGAACTCTCAATCCACTTGCTTTCACTTCCCAAGTGCTGGGACCACAAGTGTATGCCACAGTGCCTGTCTCAATCTCTCTCATTCATTCATCAGTGGTACTGACGATTAAATCCAAGGCCTCTGCACTGAGCTATATCCCAAATCTTTTATATTTTGAGATGTGGTCTAGCTGAGTTCCTGAATGTCTAAATTGGGCTTACAATCTTGCCCAGACTCCTAGAATGCTAGGATTTTTGGTGTGCACCACTACACCCAAGAAAATAACTCTTAAAACAACCATTTTCATTTTTTTGGTCATGGCTGTACAACTGTTTGTGCAAAATCATTGAATTGTACACTTTAAAAACTTTCAGGTTAGGCCTTTACATGAAACACAGATATACACTGGCCTATTTGCTGTCTCTATTCAGATTTCACTTGGATACTTCAAACAGCATACTGAATAATCTCATCTTTTACTCTATTTTATCACTTAAATTAGCTATTTGTAAGCTTGTAAATCTTAAATGTCACTTCTAGCTAAGATCTCCCTCCTGCACAAGGGCTCCTCTAATCTGCCTTTCCTTCTGGAAGGCAAGCTTGCCTCCTTTTTCTTCACTCCAACTTTTAGAACTCAATCCAGACATTTTCAGCATTTAACAGATCCCCAAAACTAGTTTCTCTTCTCTCCAATCATTGACGGTGACTTAAAAACTGACGCGGAACCCGGTATGGTGGTGCACGTCTGAAATCCTAGCACTCAGGAGGCTGAGAAAGGATGACTGCCATGATTTCAAGGCCAGCTTGAGCTACACAGTGAGTTCAAGGCCAGCCTGAACCTCATAGTAAAGCACTGTCTCACAGAAAAAAAGTAATTCATGTGGACAGCATGTCATTGCTTTAATTTTCATGGCTGCCCACAGTATAAAGTTATAAAGGAAAATCAACACTATTTTAAAGATTACTTAAAGATTATTCTTGTGTTACAATACATTTTCTTATTTGAAAATTTTTTCTTTTTACAACAAATAAGCATTATAGTACATATTTATAATATATCTGTAGATTCAGGTGAGGTGGTTCTTGAGAACCCTCAGACCTTCTCACGTTTTTTATTTGTCAACTGGTTTTGCTTCTACTTAAGAAATGGCAACCATTTGCTACAAACCAAACCATACAAAACAAAAATATTAATAATTTGAAATTAGGAAACTTAAAATTCAAATGTAGCATTTTTAAAATCTACAATGTTTTCTAAAACTAGCCTATAATGCTAGCCACTGAGGCAGAGGCAGGAAGATCACAAATTCTACCCCCAGCTTAGGGAGCTAAGCAATTTAGTGAGACCCTCCTAAAACACACACAAAAACCAAACCCAATAATAACAACAACCCCAAAACAAGTAACAACAACAACAAAACAAAGGCAGGATTTGCCAGTGATGTAGCTCAATGTAAAGGTTCTGTGTTCAAACACTAGTACCTGGGAAGAGGGTAGGAGAAATGATATACTCTCTCATAGTGGAAAAAATTAAACATATATTCTAAAGCCATAGATAAATGGGAACTTTTGTCTATTGTTTATGGGACTAAAAACTAGTATTTGGCATTGATTACTGAATTGTGAGCCAGAAATCCAAGGGGCTCTTTCAGATATAGAATACACATATGGCAAATGATAGTTACAAGATTATCAATGTATTATTTGTGATAGTACTGCTTATAAGAGCAAAAGACAAACTATTTAAATGCCATCAATAATGTAATAGTTGAACTTTTCATGTTTATTTTTAAAATGTGAATGTTACGTATTCCTTTCCTTTTCTTTCTCCGCTCCCCACTCTCTTTCTGTAGTTCCGATGATTGAACCCCCAAGGCCTTCTATATGAGCTATATCTTCCACCCTTTAATTTTTTTATGTAGAGAAAGGTTCTTGTTATATCATTAAACTGCCTGGGCTGGTCTTGATTTTTCCACCTCAGCATCCCACAGTGCTGGGATTAAAGCCCAGGAGGAAAAAAAGAAAAACAAAAGAAAAGATCACAAACAAGTCAAACCAAATAAGTAAACCAAACGGGCCAAAAACAATTTAACGGATATAATCAAAGGTTAAAAATACTCACTGGGATCCTTTCATCTTCTCGTCGTCTTCGACCTCTGAAAAGAGTTCTCCTTTTAACAAAAAAGAGAATATAAAACAACCCCTAAAAATATACACATTCTATCAAAGATGGAATGATCTCTACTTAAAATTACCTGTATTTCCTAAACCTGGAGCTATTCTCCTTTATTATTAGAAGATAAGTACATTCTTCTGAAGGGAATCTGAACCAATCTATCAAAATGTCACTACCACCCCCCCTCCACCAAGTTATTTGGATCACTTTTTTAAAGATCTCATATTTTTATTGGTTATACAGATTAATGAGTTTTATTCTGACAGATTAGTGCATGCAATTAACAAACTTTGCTAATTTTCAGCTCTTTTGCTCTCTCCTCTAGTTTTACATTTTTGGGGGAGGTGGATCAGTTTTATTAGGAATATTCTCTCCATTATTGGAAGCATATTAAAGTGTAATTTAGACATGGTGGGCATTATATAACCCCCCTCCCATAGTTCAGGGGTGGGGAGAAATTAAAACTAAGGCAGATAGATATCCTATTTTTCTTCTAAACTGTTCTTTCCTCAACAAACTATATTGAACTTCAGACTATAAACCCGATTCAGAATTATATTCTAGCCAGGCATGGTGGCGCATGCCTGTAATCCCAGCACCTGAGAGGCTGAGGCAGGAGGATTGTTGTGAGTTTGAGACCAGCCTGGGCTACAAAGTGAGCTCTAGGCCAGCCTGAACTGCATAGCAAGACCCTGTCTCAAAAAGACAAAAACAACAACAACAACAACAACAAAAAACCAGAATTATATTCTATATGGATACTCTACGTTCCTTATTATGAAAAAGTCCTACTGTGAGTAGAGAGGTATCTCAGTGGCAAAGGGCTTGCCTAGCATGTTCAAGGCCTTGGGTTTGATATCCAGCACCACAAAAAAAAACCACCAAAATATAAAACAAGAAACTATTTACCCATTTTATGTAATCAATGTATATATCAACATGATCTCATACCAATATGTTAAAACAAAAAAAATCAACAGATCATGGTCTTTAAAACTTTAGGATGATCACAGTAGGATCAAGGAAATTTCGTATACAGTTATTTCCTTACCTGCCCCTACCATAGTCCCCATTTTGTTCCAGCTGTAAAGTGGAAGTCTCCTTTGGAAGGTAAGTTTGCTCTTGATGCCCTGTTACTGAAGGGTTATGTCGTTCAGGTGCAAAGTTCCTTGAACTAGATCTGTTCAATGGTCCATCCCCCAATGACACAGAGCCCTCTGATGAGTGTTCTGTACCACTGGATGGCCTAAAATGAGGCTTCACACTATAGGAAATATAAGATCATATACATGAAAGTATAAATCAGGACTGAAAAACTTTTCTTCTGGTTAAAAACTGACATAACTAAACTGATTTTCTACAAAGAAAATTATGTCATAAAAATGTTACTCCTTTTATGTCTCAGATATAATATTTTAAAAGGCAAAAGAATTTCTAACATTACATTTGTGCTTGGAGTCATGTGGGGGAAAATTCAAGGTTCTTTGGCGATAAAGCTACTTCTACCTTAAAAGTCAAGAGTATATTTAGGATTTAAACTTTTTGTTTTTGTGTTTAAACCAACTGCAGTCTTGAAAGAGCTACATCAGCCAGGCTTTACGTTTTTTTGGTTGTCCTTTGTTTTTGGAGACAGAGTCTTGCTATGTAGTCCAAGCTGGCCTTGAACTCTATGTAGTCCAGGCTGGCCTCGAACTTATGGTGATCCTCCTGCCTCAGCCTCCTGAGTGCTGGGATTATAGGCATGCACCACCACACCTGGCTCAGGCTTTAAATTTATTAATGAGTTTATGCCACAGATTCTCAATTAATAGCAAAACTAATGGGAGTAAAAATTAGCAGTTGTGTGCGAATATCGAAGACGACATACTCATTTCATGTATACAGCACAGGCATACATATATTATGTAAGGAGACATACAATAATCCATGCTCATTCAACATTTTTTTTTTGGTACAGGAATCAAACTCAGGACCTGTGCTTGCCAAATCCATGCCATAGGGAGGGAGAAATTAGAAAAAATAATAGACATAGAAGGTTTTTATGGGTGTGACAGGGAAAAGGGTGAGAAATACTAGAATATACTAAAATCTCAGCTTTCACCAAATGAAGTCAAAATTGTTTAAGATTCATATGAAAGAAAATTAGGAAAATACTGCAGGGCCAGGGATATAAGCTCAGTGGCACAAGTGCCTGCCTGGCAAGTGCAAGGTCCTGAGTTTGATTCCCAGTACCAAAAAAAAAAAAAATTAAAAAAAAAAAAAAGAGCAATACAACCAACAGCATGGTGTGAATTCATGACATGCAATGTAGTAAAAATAACAAAAAAGAAAAACTAAAATCTCTATAAACAAACCTGCTTCTATAAAAGTAGCTTTTATCTTGGATGATGAATATAAGGACCCAACTTCCTAAAACTCTGTATGTAGATAAAACTATGGTAGGGTAATGGGGAGAAAATGCATTTTAATTAACAACAAAAACTTCTAAAGCAAGCCTCAGAAACTGAGGCTTGTGGCTCCATTACAAATTAAAAAAAGTGTGAGTGTGTATTTCCCCACTACTTGCAGTTTATATAACCTGTTTTTAATAATCTGGTTTCATATTTATAATACCAGTAACACATTGCCCATTGATGGCTTTCTCAACACAGATTAACAATTTCTGGTACAATCCGGCACGGTGATGCATGCCTGTAATCCCAGCACTTAGAAGGCTAAGTAAGACAGGAGAATCACTGCAAGTTCAAGACCAGACTGGGTTAGAAAGTTCAAGGACAGCCTAAACAACACAGTAAGACCCTATCTCAAAATGTATCTAACTGTCTTATTTTATTTCAGAGACCATCTCAGCCTTGGCAATTTGGAAAGATCTTGTCTCAAAGGGTTCTGGATATAGTTCAGTGAAGGTCCTGGGGAATTCAACTCCCAGTATTAAGGGGGAAAAAAAGGTTATTATTAACATTTAAGGAAAAAAAGTCCACCTTTACAAGATCTTTTCAGAGAATTACAACAAAAAATGCAGAATATCCCATAAGAGGAGTTTTTAAAATGTTATCTATCATACCTGAAAATGACCTCATGAAGGAGGGGTTGTTAAATCAGTTCACAAACTACTATTCACCCAGTTTTCACCGTGCATTTCAACAGGCCTCAGGGATAAATCACTAAATTTCAACAGCCCTCAGATCTCATAATCTTACCCTTCATTGAGAGGGACTTACAATCTCAATCCAGTCCACACAGAGAAAGAACAAAAGAAAGAAGCGAGTGACAAAAGACTAAAAGGAAAGAGAGGTGAAAGAAAAATAAAAAAGATAGAAAAGTGTCTGGACATCTGAAAGTGAGTCCGATTCTCTCTAGGATTAGCGATCATCACTGGGCTGTCACAAAGCTAATTCACCAATCCCAAAGCCTTGTACTTTCTCCTTTACCACTTTTCTTTTTGGCAGGACTGGGGATTGAACCCAGGGCCTCTCCTTTGTGCTGAGCTACATCTTTTGTTCTTTTTTATTTTGCAAGAGAAGGTCTCGCTGAGTCAGTACAGTACCCAGTCTGAAGCTGTGCTCCTCCTGCTTCAGCCACTGAGTGCTGGGATTACAGGTGTGCAACACCACTCTCTGCTCTGATGAACAATTTTCTAAAAACATAACGGCCTCTTAGCTATCACTTCTTAAAAGCAAAAAGAAACAAAGATTGGGTTGGTGGTCAAAAAGCTATGTGGTTTCTTCTGGAATGTTTCTATATTTATGAGGGGAAATATTTATGCATTATTTGTCTAATTAAAAATTTACAACAACCTGTATAGTACTGGTCAAACATATGGAAGAAGATGCAAAATATATAAAGATTCTAAAAATATGGAAAAAGCCACACATGGGGGCACATGCCTATAATCCCAGCACTCAGGAGACTGAGGCAGGAGAACTGCTGAGAGCCTGAGGACAGCCTGGACTACAAAGTTAGTTCAAGGCCAGCTTGAACCACATAGTAAGACCCTGTCTCAAAAAACAACAACAACAACAACAACAACAACAAAAACCCACAAAAACAAAAACAAAAAAACAAAAAAAAAAAATCAATGGTGTGGCACCAGCCTAGCAAGCACAAGGTCCTGAGTTCAAATCCCAGTACCAAAAAGGAAAACACTATACATGAATAGTTTTCTATAACATGGAAAATTTCAAATTATACTAAGCCAGTCCCACACCCTCAAAGCCACAGATGTGCCTCCATATAGGCAAAGGCACTGTCATTCCTGGATTTATAATTTCACCCCTTTACCCAGAAGGCAAAGCAGATAATAACAGTGACAAAGGAAGAACCATGAACTTATCTAATTTTTTTCTTTTTTGGGTGGTATTGGGAATTGAACCCAGGGCCTTTGCACTGAGCGACACCTTCAGTCCTTTACTGTTTGAGACGAAGTCTCATTAAGTTCCTTAATTGTTCAAGCTGGACTTATACTTGTCATTCTCCTGGCTTAGATTCCCAGAGTGATGGATTATAGGTGTGGGCCATCATGCCTGCTTAGTATAATATTTTATCAAAGGACTTACTTATTTTTGGAGGATTGGGGAGGATTTGGGAGGATTGGACCCAGGGCCCTGCAACCATAAACCAGCGCTCTTCTTTTTTCTAAGACAGGGTCTCGCTACATAGTTCAGGCTGGCCTCAGCCTCTTGAGGTCTAGGACTGACTACAGGTGTGTGCCACCACACGTGGTGACAAGTGCTCTTCTACTGAGCCACATCCCTAGACTATAAAAAGTTTTAGTTTGAGGCTGAGTGTGGCAGCGCATGCTTATAATCCCAGCACTTGGGAGGCTGAGGCAGGAGGACCTTGGTGAGTTCCAGGCCAGCCTGAACTACATGGTAAGACCTCATCTCACAACAACAACAACAACAACAACAAAATTTAGTTTGAGTCAGACAGAGTCTTGCTAAGTTTCCCAGGCTGAACTCAAACCTTCCATTTTCCTATCTTGGTCTCTCAAGTAGCTGGGAATACAAGTGTGAAAAGATCATCTGTGAGCTAGTAACAGACATTTATTCTACCTGTTTAATGCAAAAGCACACTTTCAAAGAAATATGCAAAAATCAATAGATATGTACCTCTACCACTGAGCTACATCCCCAGCCCTACAAACCTATTTCTAATCATGAGCAATCAATTATCTTCTCACAAAAGAGGCTGATTTACTCTAATGAAATTATTTTTTTGTCCGTTTGTTTTATTTTTTGGTACCAGGAATCAAACTCAAGACCTTGCGCTTACCAGGCAGGCGCTTCAGCCACTGAGCTATATCTCAGCCCTCTAATGGAATTATTTTTAAGAAAAAAGCACGCCAGTTTATGGCAGAGAGAGAATGATGTTTGGATGATGTATCTTAGGCCCAATGATAATAACCAGCCACAACCTGGCAAGATAGTTATCTTCTTTAGCCTTCAATTTCTTCATCTATAAATGAGTTAAAACTACTTAATAATGAAGGTCTTTTCTATTCACACTTCACTGCCTCTGTGTGCTTGTGGAAATTAATCTTTTTCAAGCACCAGGATGCAGGATGGAGGAGTCTGTGTACTTGTATTTCTATGTCATAACAATACTGAATTTTACAGTTAACTGCTATTAACCAAACTAAACAAGTCATCTACAAGGACACAAATAATCTTTTCCTTATAAAGTTTTCCCCTCTTTTTTTTTGAGCTGTGACTTGAATTTCTGGGACCAAGTGATCCCCCTGCCTCAGCCAAAAACTGAGTCCAAAAATGTTGACTATTGTAGTGCTGAAGGATTCATTTAGAATGCACCAAAAATACTTTTTATACTGTAAATTCCTTTCTCCAATACAGCCTATTTCAGGAAAACCTCGCAAGACACATCCCATATGGTTTCTCTGCCAAAAGTTAGTGGACAATTCAGATCTGACAGAGACTGGAAATCACTGAAAAGAAACCATTTTTAAAAATTCTCCAAATCAGGCTTATAAAACAATTAGATCTAAACCATTTACATATCAGCCCTTCATTCTGTGATTAGTTACATATGCTCTCATAATGTCACACCAATAATGAGATTATCATCTGACATCTATGAAGAGAAAAACCTAAAATATCTTGTTTGATAGGAATTAGTTTCCAGGACTCCTAGTAATTTACCCCCAGTGCTGGTGATCAAATCAAAGGCCTCAAGCATGCTAGAGGTACATCCCTAGACTCCTAAAAATTTATTCTAAAAATTATGTTTAAATTCAGCTTTTGAAGTCAAACTCCTGGGGCTCAAACCTTGGATCTGACATCACTGTGCGTTCTTGGAAGGAACACTGGACCTTTTATGTCTTAATTTCCTTTTCTATAAAATATACACACTACCATACTTACCTTACAATGTTACAAAAATAGATAAAAAAGAAATGTAAGCTCTTAATCATTAGAGCCTGAGATATTAAATGTTAGTTACTATCTACTATACTGTACTTCATAGAAGCCACTCCTCCCTTTTTTTGAGACAGGGTTTCCCCAAGTAGTTCAGACCAGCTTTGAACTCACTATGTAGCCCAGGCTGGCCTCGAACTTGTGGCAATCCTCCTGCCTCTGCCTCCCAAGTGCTGGGATTACAGGCACGCACTACTATGCCCAGCTCATAGAAATCACTTTAAAAGACAATTCTTCAAAATCTGCTATGACACATATCCCAATATTTATTGCTCAAATTATGTTACTTAACATTTTTTTTCTTTTGTCTTTTTGAAACAGGGTCTCACTATACAGTTCAGGTTGGCCTTGACCTCACTTTGTAGCTCAGGCTGATCTCAAACTTGCAATGATCCTCCTGCCTCAGCCTCCCAAGTGCTGGGATTACAGGAGTGCGCCACCACGCCCAGAGTTACTTAACATTTCTAACCCCAAAGGTTTTTCTAAAATATTACCTATTTAATATACTAAGTAACATTTAGACACTAAATGGTGGATATACATGTACATATATATATGTAACGGTAGCAAAGTTTTATTTATTTATTTATTTTGTCTTTTTGAGACAGGGTGTCACTATGCAGTTCAGGCTGGCCTTGAGCTAACTTTGCAGCCCAGGCTCGTCTTGAATTCGCAATGATCCTCTTGCCTCAGCCTCCCAAGTGCTGGGATTACAAACGTGCGCCACCACGCCCGGCTTACAAAGTTTTATTATAGGTAGGAAAAGAAACAGGCTCTGCAGAGTGAGTTTGGGCCAAGTAAAAGTAGGGAAAGAAGTACACCCCACAGTGAGGGAAGGCCACCAGGCAAAAGCGAACACAGTGGCTACTATATTTTTTCTATTCTTTTTATTACTGAGTTGCCGTTCTTTTCATATCTGTTATCAGCCGAGGTCAAAGTGGCTTTATGAAGTCTAGACTGAATTGCTTATATGCTTTTTTGTAAAAACAAGCAAACTTTTTAATGAAGTCCTCCCAGTAGTACTGCTATTAACAACCATAATTCCTTAAGACACATTGGGAAGTGTTTAAATTTCAGCTATGATTCTACCTTACCGATTTTTTTGGAATGGCCGACCCATACTCATAGCAGCAGCAGTTGTTTTGTAAGATCCTGGTGAGTTAAAGCCGTTCACAAAATTGCCATTGGGGAAGGGAGCCTAGAAGAAAAGTTCACATTTACACTGCATAAATGGGAAATATGGAGTGAGGGTCACAAGAGATATGAGTTAACCTAGCATCAATTCCTTTCACAAGGGAAAAATAATTTCAAATATTTTACTTAACTCACTTTTCCAATATTCACATCATGTATCTCTTGAATCATGAGCATGTGTCACCAGGTCATTCAAAGAAGGAAAATTCTAGCACTTAAAATCAGATAGGACTTATGTACTCTTTTCAATTCATTCCAGAAAGTTTAAAGAATAAAATTGTGGAAATCAATAGCCAAAGCATTAACTTACTTTCTTTCTTTTTCAATCTATACATTTAGTAAGGAGGATTAGATTTCTGTCATAACCAGTATCAGCAAATGAACTACTCCGGCTGATTACTTCAAATTTCAGCTTGAATTAAAAATTTTGTTATTTTAGATTATCCTGTAAGGATCTCACTTACCAGTGGTGTTTCAAAGTAAGGTGCAGGACTTGGGGACCAAGACTGAGGCACAATACTATACACTGAGTATTGTTGGTGAGGATTATATAGAGGCTGCATAAAGACTGGTGAAGCATACTGTGCTTGAGCTTGAATGGGCTGACTGTACATACTAGAATCCATTAATCGATAACCATTCTTAGCAAAGAATGTATTGATGGCTTTTATCCTTGCCTAGAAGCAAGAACAATACATTATAATAAAAGACTAAACACATTTAGACCAATGTATTACCTTTTTTTTTCCTTTTTGGTAACAAGAATCATACTCAGGACCTTGAGCTTGCCAGGCAGGTGCTGTGCTGCTGAGCTATAACCCCGGCCCTCAATTTACATTTTAACATTTTACACTACACTGAACCATTTCTGCTTATTGTGCAATCAATGCAAAGGAAAAAGAAAACATGTATGAAAAACAAAAAGACAAAAGAAGGAATTACAGAAGAAAAGATGGCTTTAATTAATAAGTGTATGCACAGGAAAAGCCACAATAAACAAGGCAAAAACACAAATGTCAAAATAATAGAATTATAATATCACATCGAGTGTGTGCCAGGTATGGTGGTGCATGCCTGTAATCCCAGCACTTCAGAGGTTGAGGCAGGAGGATCACCATTATTAGCTACATAAGCAAGTTCAAGGGCAGCCTGCACTACATAGTGAGACCCTGTATCAAAACCAGAGTGCCCATAGCACTAATATATGAACTGTAAAAATAGACATGAAAAGACCTACTAATCCTATAGAAAATGGATTAGAGACATGAAGAGCGTTCATAAATAAAAAAGCAAATGGCACAAATACATGAAACACGCCAAATTTTGCTCATGAGAAGCAATTAAAATAGAGGTATATGAAAAACTAAAAATGCTCAAAATCATTTAATTACCAGATAAATACAAATTAAAATTGCAAGACACACACACACACACACACACACAGAGAACAGTCTATCAATCACTAAGTACACTATGGTACATCCATCCATATAATCTTCAACTAACAATCTGGAATTTGCTCCAAATTCTACTATGAAGTGATTTCCAAATTATACTGTTAATCTGAAATGAAGCGGGGAGGGGAGCAGGGAGAAAAGTATTTGTGTAGAAACGTTATTAGGTTGAGAGTAAACTGGGGAATGGATAAAGATGATGTGTTTTTTAATACAATTGAGTACTCCTCTGCCATAAAGAAGGATAAGCTTGAGACATTCCTAGGTAAATGCATATACCTTGAGACCATACTCTTAAGTGAAATAAACTGGACACACATGTATAAATATCAAATTGTTTTCTGATGTGAGAAACCAAAAGTATAACGTTACCATTTTAAGGCATGATACATGTTTTATGACCGTTATAGCAATTGGCCAGGAACCCCTTCCTTCCCACTCTCAAACTATAACCAATCAAGTGATAAGAAATTAATTACTGGGGGCCAGGGATATAGCTCAGTGGCACAAGTGCCTGCCTGGCAAGTGCAAGGTCCCGAGTTCAATTCCTGGTACAAAAAAAAAAGAAATTAATTACTGGGCTAAGGGTGTAGCTCAGTGGTAGAACACTTGTTACTATGCAAACAGTCCTGAGTTCAAACCCTAGTATAATAGACCATTACCTAGCATGTACAAGGCCCTGGGTTTAATCCATAGCACCACAAATAAAAAGATGGCTTTTTAAAATAAAATTAAATAAAAAATTCACTGGGCAGCCCTCAGCAGACTGGAGATAGCAAAAGAAATTGTCACTTAACTTTAAGATAATTACAAATCCACAGAAATTACCCAGTTCAGAGAATAATGAAAAAAAGATCGAAGAATCACAATAACATTAAGTACATAGTATTCTAACATACATAAAATTAGAGTACCAAAAGATAAAGAGGTAGAAGTACAACATGAACTTTTTTTAAAAAAAACTACTAGGTGCATAGTCCCTAGGGCTGAAGATACAGCTCAGTGGTGCAAGGGCCTGCCTAGCAACCACAAGATCAGGAGTTCAATTCCCAGTACCCCACACACACACAAAAAAGTCCCTAACTTTGGTGAAAGTTGCTAGGTATAATGGTGCACATCACTCTGGGAAACTGAGATAGGAGGATCACAAGTTTGAGATCAGGCTAGGCAATGTAGCAAGACTCTTTAAAAAAAAAAAAAAAGGTTAGGTGAAAATAAAGAAGTAACTCAGTGAGAAGACTCTGGGTCCAAACCTAGGTTCATGAAGAAAAAAAAAAAAAAAGATAAATTCAACCTACAGATTGGAAAATTTCAAATACAATCCAAACAGTATACATAAACCACATTTGGCAGGTATGGTGGTGCATACCTATAGGCAGGAGGATCTCTTGAGTTCGAGGCCAGCCTTAAATACATAGTGAGATCCTGTTTCAAAATACTGAAAACACGGGGGCTGGGGATTTAGCTCAGTGACACAGTGCCTGCCTGGCAAGTGCAAGGTCGTGAGTTCGATTTCCGGTACCGGGAAAAAAAAAAACCACAAAAGAAAAAAGAAAACTGAAAACACCACACTCAACCTACTAAAAACCAAAGATAAAATATTTTGACAGCCAGGAAAGGAAAAGGACACATCATTACATATACTGGGTAATACTATGCAAAAATAAATGACAGTGTGAATGGATGTGACCCTAGGTCAGGATCATCACTTTTGAATCACAGAAATTTAGATACAATGAGTATGTGCACTATAAGGAAACAAAATGTTACAGGTAGTTTGACATACTCAAAAATGAGAGCTGGTGGCTGAAAACAACCACAGCTAAAATACAGGATTCCTGACTCTACCATCTGTCTTTCCAGATGTTCGGTTATGTAGTTTTAAGGAATAATATAAAAATTAATGTGAAGGCTGGGGATGTAGGTCAGTGTAAAGTGACTGCCTACCACATACCAGGCCCTGAGTTCAATTCTTAGCACCACTTAAAAAAAAAAAAGAAGGAAAGAAGGCAAGTATGAATTTTCTGGCAGGAATACTGTCAGATGGCTATCCAAAGAATTATTTTTAAAAGAAGAGAAAAAAACAAACAAAAACCAATTTTTGTGAAGAAATGTAATGCTTATTTGTAGACAATATCACTTCTCAGGCTGATAATCCAAAAGATCCATCAAACCACTCAATATAATAAAGGGGTTCGGAAAGGTTGGAGAAGATAACACTTAAAAAAAAAAGAAATCAAACCAAGATACCCAAAAATTACTTTAAGAAGGCAATTATAAAACAGATCTGCAGGCCAAGGTTTAGTTCAGTGGCATAAGCGCCTGCCTGGCAAGCACAAAGTCCTGAGCTCAATTCCTGGTACCAAAAAAATACCAAACCAGATCTGCACTAGTACTGAGATATTATTCACAAAAGTAAATAAATTTAGGCTAACGTGCCCTTTATAATCAATTTAAGCAATAAATACAATTCCAGTAATCTAACTGTGTTTTTTGTGACACTAGACAAACACTATGAAATTTACTGGTTTTTTGGGGGTTTTTTTGGAGGCAGGGTCTCACTATGCAGTGCAGGCTGGCCTTGAACTCATGGCAAGGCCTCAGCCTCCCCAGTGCTGGGATTACACGTGCAGCTAACACTCTGAAATTTGTACGAAAAAGTAACAGTCTAAGAATAGTCAAGACAATTCTGAAAAATAAGAACAAGGAAAAAGAAAGTGCATATGCAAGTAAGGATACTGTAAAACTATGGTGTAATTAAAGTAACAGTACTGGTTTACAGAAGTAGAGATCAACAAAATCAAAAAACTTGAAACAGGTCTCAGAGAAGTGGTGCTACACACAAGCTGTAAAAGGACAGATTCGTCAACAAATATATGCTCAGGCAATTGTTCTTCCATATATGGAAAAAAGGAAGTGGATTCCTTATACTACGTACCCAATTAATGAAAAGATGTATCAAAATTTAATCTGAAGTATCAAGCCTTGAATTTATTAGAAGACTAGGAAAAACATCAAAATAGGAAGAAGTGGTAACAGAGAAAAGATTTATTTATTTATTTATTTTTTGGTGCCAGGAATCAAACTCATGACCTCAAGCTTGCCAGGCAAGCGCTTATGCTGCTGAGCTACATCCCCGGCCCATAGAGAAAAGAAAAGGAAGTCAGAGAAAGGCTGGATGTAGCACAGGCATCCACAGACCCAGCCTGTTGGGAGGATGTAGAATGACACTGAGCAAAGAGCTCATTTATAATATAAAAACAAGTAATACCACCTACCACACAGCAACAAGACATACACGTGTCAGACATACTGCTTTATACATGTAACATTACTAGTTTTGTGAAACCAGGTAGGTTATTCTCATTTGATTTACTAATAGAAAGAGGAAAAACGAGAGTACCTATCCATTATGTTCTTCTAAGGATAAAATAAATTCACATATGTAAAGTGTTATGACAGAAATGGATATATAGTAAGAACACAACAGAGAGGAGTTAGTAAGAATAATGTATTACACCTACAAGTAATGATGAGAATAGCTGTATCACATGCAAAATGAAGACTATGTCAAAAAAAAGTATGTGTTATTACAGTTTAAGAATGGTGGCTCTGGTGGCAATGTGGAGAATGGAAAAGCTGAAGGCTTAGTGGCTGTGAAGCTACTCCAATTGTTCAAGCCTAAGCAATGGTAAGCAACAATGACAGAAGTTTCAAAGCAGATTCATGGGACCACGTAAAGATAGTGAGCAAGTATCACCAGTGATCCCAGGTAGTTGGATGTTAATGTGGAAATGCGGTTAACTGAGATGAAGCTGAAGGTACTAAGATTGTTTTTCACTTCCCTTACTAAAACATTATACCTAATGTTCATGTTGAGATCTGGAATTATAAGCTGTGAACTACTGAACAAACACTTTATGAAGTTATTTGGAAAGAACTACTCATTATTTGGAAATGTTCTATTGTACACAAAACATTTTAGTGCCCTATCTGCTAATTTTCTGAAATAACATATAATACAAGCCAGAAAGGTCTTTAAGATTACTACAAGCCAATAAAATATTATCTATTTGTGTTTTCTTAAACTCTCAAACAGCAAAAAATAAAAAAAGCCTCTGTTTCACTGTATGTACAAATGTTTCTTACCATTATTGGCTTGCCCTGAAATGTTTTAACTTCTTCTCGCAAGTATTTAAATGCCTGTTAAAGCAGAAAGAACTTTCATTAGTATTCAGACAGACATTTTATTAAAGACATCTTTATTTATCCAAAGTCTGGAACAAGCAATTATTTCTTAAAAAAAAATTTGGGTCACGCATGGAGGTTGCACACCTGTAATCCCAGCACTCAGGTAGGCTGAGGCAGGAGGATCATTGCGAATTCAAGACCAGCTTGGGCTACAAAGTGAGCTCAAGGTCAGCCTGAATTGCACAGCGAGACCCTGTCTCAAAAAGGAAAAACAAAACAAAACAAAACTTAAGGTGATAGAAAATGAAAAGCAAAAACTTAAGACATTCTCAGCTACAGTTCACATAGTTGGATTACTGCAGATAAAATATGCAAGACTCAAACAAACCTAAAATAGCACTAGATACCATACAATTCAATCAGATAAATTTTTAAGATGAAGAATTAAAGTACAATAAAAATCTTGAGTTATTACGCTACCATATTTGTTTAAAATACGTATTTCTGTTTTCTTCAAGGACATAACAAGAATAAAAAAGGTTTAGTTCAGTGGCAAAAGCGCCTGCCTGGCAAGCACAAGGTCATGAGTTCGGTTCCCGGTACCGGAGAAAAACCAAAAAAAAAAAAAAACTTCCAGAATTTTTTTTTAATTGCACATCTACTGTGTACTAGAAATACTACTGAGCACATGGTTTTCAACATCCATATTAATTTTAACAGTGTGTGTTAACTTTTTTATTGACAGGAAATTATTCTTAAATTGAAACTGAGTAATCTTTATAATCCAAAAAGGAGACCAATTAAAATTAAGCAAAAGCAAAAAGGTGACCAAGGTGCCCACTAGTCTTTAGAACATTAGAGCAAGCAAATATTTTCTTAATTAAAATATACTGACTTCTTTTACAAGTAGGACTTCTTCTTACCTGTTGTGCATCCGTGTCTGACTGGAAGGTGATGTACCAGTTGCTATTGTGTGCAAACTCACAGCTTATCACTTTGGGGCAGTTGTCATTTTTGAACAAAGCTTGCACTTCCTAAAAAGGAAAATTTGTAGTCAACTCTAAAAAAAAAGGTATCAGTAATCTGCATTTTTTTTGTTTACTAGTGAGGATGAGAATTTCTGTGTCATTCAGTCCTATTTCTTCATGTGTTACCTATTATTCTGAACAACCCATAGTGTAAATTTTGTTTAATTTAGGGGTGGAGAAATTTTATTTTATGATCAGCGAAATGAAAGTTTTTCCTTCTGGTAGCAAGCTAAACTTTAATTATATAAAATCTCCTGTCCTTTCCTTGCTTAGTCTGGCATTATTAAAAACAAACAGGTCTTCCCTTTCAGCTCCTGTTGCTTTTGCTGTCTTCCACCACAGCCATGAAGTGTTACCCTCTGCCATGGGCCACTCTGCCCTGGAGAAAGCTCAGTATGGGCCGAAACCTCCACAAACTGTGAGCTGTATAATCCTTTCCTTCCTTAACAAAACACCCAACAAGAAGAAACAAACAAGCCCAAAAGGCTGGGCATGGGGGTGCTTGGCCATAATCTGAACACTCTGGAGGCTGAGACAAGAGGATTGCAAGTTTGAGCCCAGCCTGAGCAATTTAGTGGTTTAACTAGAAATAAAAATTAAAAAGGGCTAGAGACGTAGTACAGTGCAAAGGCCCTAGTTTACTTTTGACATGCAGTTCAAAATCAAAGATTTGGGCTGGGGATTTAGCTCAGCGGCAAAAGCGCCTGCCTGGAAAGCGCAAGTTCGTGAGTTCGGTTCCCTGTACTGGAGAAAAACCAAAAAAAAAAAAGACAAAATCAAAGATCTTGGGACAATTTCTTTTCTAATTTTTCTCACTGATTCTAAATTTGGCAAATTTTTATTCAGAGATATAATGCTGAATGACTGTGGGCAAAAAAAAAATGATTAGCTAAGACAAATTTGTCATCTGGCAAGTGCTTAAAAATTCTTTTCTGAATGGCTAATAAATAACAATAAATAAGTTACTGAGAAATCTTAACTTTTAAAATTTACAATGGCTTAACATGGCAATTCACAGCAAAGAATAGTGGCACAGTGGCTAAGAAACACAGGCTTTACATTTATTTGGAGAGATCAAGTTTAAATCCAGACTGTGTCACTCAACAGCCCATCTACCCTTGGGCCAAGGTTATTTAACCATCCAAAGGCTCAGATTCGAAATTGTAAACAGATAATGTTTGGCTTTAAATGACTGTAACTATAGGGTAAGCAACAGTTGGCAGAAGCTAATTATTAAATATCATTATATGTAATTATTTGAGACTATGTTTCTGGATTATATTGTTTCATACAATTATTACTTTATTCTTGAGCATGTACTATGCCATCTTTATGACTGCACATTTGTTTTATGTTTCACTAATCAGCAGATTTAGTCTTATTTCATTACCTTTTTTAAAAAACACCCTTAACAAAACATTACTATATTAATCTGTTGACAATAATTGATATGAAGTCAGAGTTACACTTCACTTGTGTAACTTCTCTAATTTAAACAGTTAAAGAACATTTCACTTTATGGGCTGAGGATATAGCTCAGTGGCATACGCGCCTGCCTGGCAAGCGTAAGGTCTGAGTTTGATTCTTGGTAGCAAAAAAAAAAAAAGAACATTTCACTTTAAAAGAATAGTCACTAACAGTTTACCTCTACTGGTGTTGTTTCAGGAATCTCTCTGAGAATCACAATGCAACGTTTATGACTTGGTCTCACTTTCTCGCCCTTCTCATCAACTTGTACCATTGGAGATGCTGAAATTTTAAAAAGAAGGGTTGCATTTAAAAGTGATAGACAGTGATAATAATAATGCCATCAAAAGACTACTGTAACTCTCAAGTGAATAAATTACCACAGGCTAATTCCACATAGCCGAAACTTTTATTTCTAGTTCCTTCAGAGTAGCAATATGTCACATTTCCCTGAGAAGGTAAACAGATTTTAAAAAGCAGTGAAGGGTAAAAGGTGGTATAAGTGCAAGGTTCCAACCTAAACAAGAGAAAGTATTTTGCTTGTCTCTGCCAATTTTCTTTGTAGACAAGACTGGGACATCTTAAGAAATGATGTCTATACAAACTTAATACTCCCATATAGGTCTCTGGCTATACTTGTTATATTTAACTTTTAAGCATTCTGAACAGACAATATAAAAGTGAAGATCTCCTTTATTTAGTCAAGTAGTTAATTAATAAACCCCTTGGGAGGTGACCAAAAAATACTGATGAGACACAGAAATTTTTAATCAAGAAATATATTTGTGGTACTGGGAACTCTACCCAATGCCTTCACACCAGCCCCTCTGCCCTTTCATTTTTTGAGACAAGGTCTCGCTAAATTACTGCCTAGGCTAGGCTGGGTTTGAACTTGTTGATTCCTCTCCCACAGCTTCCCAAAGTACTAGGATTACAGGCATGTGCTGAAGAGTGTCAAACTGTGGTTGTAACTCATAGGCTGTGAAATCAGTTTAAGATAAAAGAAATAAGTATACTGTAAACAGTATTAACTTATAAAATTGACATTTCAATTGTGCGCAGGGATGTACAGCTACGGAGTAAATTGTTCTTTCTTGGGTTCAAATTTGAAACAGACTGCTGTAGTGCATATAAGGATGACATTCTTCCTAACAGTCCATAAAAATGAGATTTAATTATTTGTACTTGCTAACTGAACATCAAGGTTAACGACTGAAGTTAGAGAACTGATATAGAAGCTGAACACATACACAAACAATAGACTGGCAGCCAGAGAAAATAAATTACTAGACCAAAATAGAACCACTAAAATCCCTTGAATCATCAGAAATCCAGAGAATATTTAACTTCTTAAATATTCAAACACAATCAGCGCCTGTCTGGCAAGTGCGAAATTGTGAGTTTGATTCCTGGTACCGCCCCTGCCAAATCAAACACAAGTTCAAAGGTATTATTTACATACATCTCAACACTTCAAGAATTAGATCAGGATCTGTGGTCAACTTTTTTATTTCTTCCATGTTGGCAACTGTCCATATTGGGACGAACTGGTCACTATCCATTTGTGATATCAAGTAAAGATCCTTTGATAAATTTTCTCTGAAAGAAATAAAACAAAAGCAATATAACAAATTCTTAAAAACCATCTCAAGAACAGTTGTACCTTATTCATTTTTATCACTATGGTTTAGGGCAACAAAATTGTGCTATTAGAAATAGTAGGCTGAACTGTGAAAAGGTCAGTGAAAAGCTCAATTTCAAAGGTATCACAAAATGTCTGACTCTCCAAACGTATCTGGCCCAAAGCTTTGGACAAAGAACTTTATGGAATTATATTGCTAGGCAAAAAGGCTTAATATTAAATCACATGCTATGATGAATTACACAGTGCTCCATTTCATAAATCCTTTACTGTTAAGTGTTAGAATATGCATATGGAAAAAGTAGCAGTTTAACCATGAGTTAAATCAGGAGGATTTTGCATACTGAATCCAGGGCCTTTCCACTGAGCTACATCTCCAATGCGTTTTTGAAGTAAGTATATATTTACAATACATATTCAATGCATTTGTTGTGGGTAGTTGGAACACTTACATGACACATTTTAAATCTTATTACATCTCCATCCCCATCTTCACCCAAACCTCTTCCAGCATTTTAGTTCCTTTTCCATTTACCAAAGTCCTATCTCTCTATTTCCTGTTGTCTTTTATTTTGCTTTGATTTATTTATACTTTCGGTTTCTCATATAGTGTATTTTACGTAACATAATGGATTCCATAATGCATTCATTTTCCTACAAATGACTCAGAATTATCCTTCCTGATAACAGACTAGTACTCTATTGTGCATAATAAATACATTTTCTTTATCTGTTTATCTGCTGGTGGACAAATAGGCTGTTCTAAGATTTAGTTATTATGAACTGTGCTGCTATAAAAATGGGAATGTATGTTATCACTGTGGTATGATGTCTTTAACTCTTTTGCGAAGTTATCTAGAAGGGACTAGCTGGGTCAAATCTACTTTTAGATTTTTGAGGAGCCTCTACACTGACTTCCAAAGTGGCTATACTAGTTTTAACATTCCCACCAACAGTGTAAAAGGAAGGGTTCTTCCCCCGTGCCAGCCTTGCCAGCATTTGTTATTTAATTTCTTGATGATAGCCATTCTTTCTAGAGTAAGATGAAATCTCAGTGCTTTTTGTTTGTGTGTGTGTGTGTGTGTGTGTGTTTGGGACACGGTCTCACTACGCAGTTCAGGTTGGCCTTAAGCTCACTTTGTATCCCAGGCTAGCCTTGAACAGCAAACGATCCTCCTGCCTCAGCCTCCTGAGTACTGCGATTACAGGTGTGCGCCACCACACCCAGCCTCTCAGTGTTGTTTTAATCTGCATTTCTCTGCTGGCTAGAGATACTGAGCATTTTACATGTATTTCTTGGTCATTTGTACTACTTCTGAAAAGTGTCTTTTCATTTCATTAGCTCATTTTTTGATTGGGTCTTTTATTCTGGAGGGCCTAATTTTCTTGAGTTCTTTGTATATTTTAGGTATTAATCATCTGTCCAATGGGTGGCTGACAAAAATTTTCCCACTCTGTGTGTTATCTCTTCACTCTGTTCGTTGTTTCCTTTGCTATGAGAAGATTTTTAATTTGATATAATCTCGTATGTTGATTCTTGATGTTATTTCTTACACAACTGGTGTTCTTTTCAGAAAATTCTCACCTATGCCTATGACCTCTAGAGTGTTACCTATCTTATCTTCCAGCAGGGTAAGTGTATCTTTTAATGTTTAGGTCTTTGAACCATTTGATTTTAGTATAGCACATGGTGAACCGTGTGGGTGGAGATTCAATCTTCTGCATGTGGACAGCCAGTTTTCCTAGCACCATTTAACTGTTAAAGAGGCTGACAATCTTTGTTCCAGTGTATGTTTTAGCCCCTTTGTCAAAGATCAGGGGCTGAACGTATCTAGACCTTTTTTATTTTTTAGTTTGAGCTAGGATCTCTCAAAGTCACTAAGCTGCTCAGACTGGTTATCTTCCTGTCTCAGACTCTCAGAGTGCTGGGATTGTAAGTGTGCACCACCATGCCAGGGGCTAAGATTTTTAATTCATAAATGTTTACATTTTTATGAGCAAACTTTTACAACTTAAAATGTGCATTTAGAATTAAGACAAATTCTTTTAAGAAATATAAACATTTTTTGGTTTTTGGTTTTCTTTCCGGTACCAGGAATTGAACTCACAACCTTGGGCTTGCCAGGCAGGCGCTACACTGCTGAGCTAAATCCCCAGCCCCTGATACAAACATTTTTATCTTACATCTAAATCTTTTTAACTAAAGTAAAATCAAATTCTTGCCTTTTTATTCATATCAAGTATTTGTTGAGCCAGATTGTCTAAAAATAATTAGAAGTCCATGCTTAAAAGCTTCCTTTTTAAAGAGGCCTGACTTGACCACCCTTGTTACAGCTCCAACCACACAAGCCCTCTGGGTTCCCCTCTCCCTTGTTTGAACTGTTCTATTTAGTTTTTTCCACAGCAGTTTTCACCAAACATGCTAACCTGCTTATTTATTATTTTATTGTTTTGTATCTCCCAGCAGAATATGTATTCCATCTTTGTTCAATGCTTCAAAAGCCTTGTGTCTGGCAAAAAGTGCAAAGGCTTGTCCATTTAAGCTCTATAAAAATACAGCACTTTCTCCAAGGTTACAATGTCAACGGGTAGTGATTATTTATTGGGAGTACGGCACAGAAGATAACAGTGAACTTTAAACTCATATTTCAACATAAAAGAACCCATTAGTATCAGTCTAAGAATGTTAATAACCTGAAAATCAGATGTCTGTAAATACCATCCCTTGTCTAACTAAAAAGGGTGTAGCGTAAACCATTCCTTATTTTCCACAGACTACTCTTATCAATTAACTGTGTCAAAACTCTTGAATAAACTGTATCTTGCCCAAAGTAAATGAAATTAATGGATATAACATCTTAAACTTGCCTGTAACACCTGATACAAACTAACAGCAATTCTGGTGAGCTACAAATGAGAACTGCCTGGCTGGTTTGACAGTATCACATTTGTAAGTAGGATGTGGAGATCATATATAAAAGTGCCACTGTAAAAACTAAAAAGCTTAGATAAATTACAAAAGTCATGTTTTTGGAGCTATGAAAGAAATATACTGAAAAATGACACCAAAATCTACCATTAAAAGGAAATGATTTAAAAACTGGTTAATTTTATTTATTTATTTATTTATGTATGTATGTCTTTTTGAGACAGGGTCTCACTATGCAGTTCAGGCTGGCCTTGACCTCACTTTGTAGCCCAGGCTGGTCTTGAACTTTGCAATGATCCTCCTGCCTCTGCCTCCCGAGTGCTAGGATTACAGGCATGCACCACCACAACTGGCTGGTTAATTAATTTTAAAAAGGGAAACAGTATCTACCATTTTTCTAGGCATTTTACATGTACTAACCAAATCAACTCAAAAAGCAGCTGTATCAGCCAGGTGTGGTGGCACATGTCTGTAATCCTAGCACTCGGGAGGTTGAGGCAGGAGGATTGCTGAGTTGAGACCAGCCTGGGCTACAAAGTAAGCTCAAGGTCAGCTTGAACTGCATGAGACCCTATCTCAAAAAGAAAAAAAAAAAAAAAAAAAGTAGCTATATCAATTAAAAAGATTCTGTACCGTGAAAAACAGAACTCTAACTGCTTCTTCAGACATTCTTTTAGATCTTCTGCAGAAATTGCCGAACTATTTTCTCCTGGTGGTAGAAAACAAAAAAAAAGGTTAAGACTATTAAGTTATCATAGGTATTGAAATTTACATGTTATGCTCAGAACTCACAAAGTATCCACAAATTAAAGTTTACTACAGTACTGTAATATTTAAAAATTAGTGTAACTCAGATGGTCCCGTGTCTAACTTCTCCCAACTTACCCTTTTTTCCAAATAATTTTGTTAAAGTTCCTTTATCAAGACAGTAACAAAGGATTATTAATACCAAAAGCACTTGGCTACTATGCTGCAAAACACTGCCTGTCATACTTAAGAAATGTTATCACTACTGTAACATTCCCTAAACAGCAACTAAAAGAACACAAGATGAGCATGTCCTACATTTGAAGACAGGAACTAGTGTAACTAATAGGGATATATTCATACAACTACTGTACATCTCTTTTACTACTAGTAGATCTGATGTCAGTCATGCTCTTTAATCTCTCTTAATAGTCTTCTTTTCCCTCTAATAGTTTTTGATTTGTGTGTATGTGTGTATGTGTGTTCTGAACTCTCATTGTAGCAATAAAAACAAAAAATTTACCAGAAATGTCATATATTTGGTAACTCATATCTTCGGGTCCTAAAATAATTCCCTCAGTTGGTTCTTCAATGCCAGTAGTATTTCTCGTGGTTTCACAAGATGGAGAATACATCATTTCATATTCTTTACACATGTCTTCTGAAAGCTCTGTATTGCCTGTATTTAAGTAAACAAATTCTTTAGTCCTATCTCCAGAAGCAGTATATCTTCTAGATTTTAAGAATTCCACCGATTGGAAAAAATGTTCACATAGTAGAGCACTGGAGACCAAGCCTAGGCCTTAGGCATGCTAGGAAAGCACTTTACCACTGAGCTATATCTCTAGCCTTTTATTTTTTTTAATTGAGTAAGAAAGGACAGACACCCATCCCCACCAAGCACAAGGGACTGAACTTCAGGCCTCATTTACCCTGAGACAGATCCCTAGCTCTTTTTTTCCCTGTTTTTGTTTCTTGACCCAAGTCTTGATATGTAGTTCAGGCTGGCTGTGAACTCACTGTGTAGCTCAGGGTGTCCTCAAACCTGCAGTGATCCTCCTGCTTCAGCCTCCTGAGTGCTAGGATTATAGGCATGCACCACCATGACTGGCTCCCAGCCAGCCCTTTTCTTAAACATTTTTGAGACAGGGTCTCACTCAAGGTGCCTTCAAATTTGCAATTCCGCCTCAGCCTCTAAGTAGATGAGGTTATAGCCATGTGCCGCTCTGTCCAGCTCCATATGGTTTAAAGAATTCTATTTACTTAAACAGCAATCCGAAGGCTGAGGCAGGAAGATGGCTCTGAGTGGGTAGCCTGGGCTACACAGTAAATTCAAAGTCAGCCTGAAGGGGCCAGGGATTTTGCTCAGTGGTGCAGTGCCTGCCTGGCAAGCACGAGGTCCTGAGTTTGATTCCTAGTATCCCCTCAAAAAAGCAAAGTCAGCCTGAACCACATAGTGAGAAGCTACCTTCAAAAAAAAAAAGTTAACTTATACATCACTATACATCAGTCTGTTCCATGTACGTGACACATTTAATTTTCAGACAATCCTATGCTATAGGCACTTATTATTTGTTTGACAGATGGAGGAAATAAGTAGTATAAAAGTCATTTGCCCAAGGTCAAATAGTAACTAAACTGCAAAGCCAAAGATAGTGGATTAAAACTATAGCCTGGTGTGGTAAAACATACTTGTAATCCAGGTGCTACTCAGGAAGCTGAGGTTAGATGACTGACTGGGTGATCAAAAGCTCAAGGGCCAGTCTGAATGACTTAGAACATGTCTCAAAATAAACTAAAAAGGGCTGAGGTGTAGCTAAATGATACAGCACTTGCCTAGCATGCATGAGACCCCGGGTTCAGGCCTTAGTACCAACAAAACAAAAATAAAAGCAAACAAAAAGCTAAATAATAAAGTATAAATGATACAATATGAATACATTATATGCTGGATCCCAAGATATAGCTACTACTTGAAATTAGTGACAATCCATTCATGTTGAGTATAAGTAAGAATTATGTATGAAATACAATTGTTCTCAAATAATCAAAGGGTGTATCCAAAGTTCTATATACTTGTCTGGCCATATAATCAAAACGTCATTTTTCCAGTGAAATATTTTGGCCTTACCCTCAGTCTGAGACCCTGATGTGGCTGCCGTTTCATGCCAAGAGCTTTCAGTTCCATGAGTTACAGGAGTGGCATCAGGATTTCCAGGAGGAATTTCTTGCCATACTTTGGCATTAGGATTTAAACCAGTCCCTTTAGATGTCACCTGCTAAATAATCAAAGGATCTATTTGTAAATTTTAAAAGTAGGTATATCAAAGTTACAAATATAAATAATGGGCTTTCCCATTACTTAAATATGAAGCAACTTAAATAATTTAATTCTAATAAATACTACTATATAGTAAATATTACCTACGTAAGTAAATATACCTATATAATTTTATTTTTTTTTTGGGGGGGGAGTTCTGGTACCAGGAATCAAACTCACGACCTTGCGCTTGCCAGGCAGGCGCTGTGCCACTGAGCTAAATCCCCAGCCCCATGTAATTTTAATATTTATTAAAAAATAAAACAGTGCTTTACACTAACCCACTTGGAAATTCTCATAAAATTTATTCAAACTATTCATGTATCTTTGAAATGCTACAGTACTCTTATTCTTACTCTTATTCTGGTTTCAGAGTGTATTATTTTTATTGCCATTGTAGTTATGACAAAAACTTTTGAGTCTGAATGATTGTATCACTAGAAATATTTTCTCAAGAGCAGTGATCTGTCCAGTGTGGTTGTGGCATGCCTGTAATCCCAGCTACAAGGGAGGCTGAGGCAGGAGGATCACAAATTAAGGCCAGCCCAGACAACTTAAAGAGAATGTATCCCAAAATACAAAATAAAAAGGGTCGAGAATATAGCTTAGTGGTAGAGTACACTTGAGTTCAACACCAGTGTCACACAAAAAGTGATCTGCACTTCTTTTGTACAAAAGTATATACTCTTATTGCCCACAATATAATTATTTGAAGTATTTCTATTTAAAGTGGCCTTTTCCATGCATTATCTAATCACTAAAACATAAAGGTGAAAGCCGGAATTGTACATGGGGACTAGGTGTGGAAGGAAGAAGAACATGAAAAGATGGAGACGCTAAGGAAGGGACAGAGAGAAGGCTGGGATGGACACACACCCTTCTTTGCCCTCATATGACCAAACAATCTTCTCAAGTACATTAATGATATTGTAAAAAGTTCATCCCCCTCTAGAAAGTACTTTTGACTGTCTTTTCAGCCACAGACCCCTCCCCTGGATGGTAGGCACAAGAGGGTAAGTCAAAAGGGCAGAGAATTAATTAATTCAAGTTTGTAACCTATAAGATACTGGGAATCAGCTTTTATGAAAAGTAGCTGGTGCACACTGAACTATTCATTAGGAGGTTGTCATAAACTCCCTTTCTGAAGAGGTTCTTACAGGTGATCCTACCTTACAGGTTAAAAGCAAAACAAATTCAGCTTTTAAGGTACCACCAAGGGTTGGGGATATAGTTCAGTTGCACAAGCACCTGGCTAGCAAGAGCAAGGTGCTGAGTTCGATTCCTAGTGCAAAAAAAGAAAAGGTACCACCAACACCTAAATATGTTCAACCAAGGTAAAACTGGGTAGGGAAAACTGTAGAACCCCTAGACAAAGTTGCTAACTTAAGACTCAGCTTCTGAAGACCAGGCGTGGTGGGGCACGCCTGTAATCCCAGCACTCAGAAGGCTGAGGCAGGAGGAATGCTTCAAGTGTCAGGCCAGCCTGAACTGCACAGTGAAACTCTATCTCAAAAAGATGAAAAGATTCAGCTTCAAAGAGGCCTAACTACTTCCTGTAATTACACCCATGAAATTCTCCCATACTCTTCTAATAAAACAGATTTTTCAATGTGAGTTTGAGTGAGTTTATATATGGTACAATGTAACTTACATGTACGACCCAATGAAACAATAGTTTAATTTTTTTTTTCCCCAGTACCGGGAATCGAACTCACGACCTCGCGCTTGCCAGGCAGGCGCTGTGCCGCTGAGCTAAATCCCCAGCACCAGCAATAGCTTAATTATACTCTACTGCTTGACCTTTTTAAAAATTGCTTCCTCTTATCAACTGAAACGTTCTGACAATCTGGGAAAAAGACCAGATGCACCACCATCTCCCATGTTCGGGTTCATTCATATCTCTGGGACAAAAGCTAAAACCTCCCAATGCTGATGACAGTATGGGTATTTTATCACTTACACTGTTCAGAATTTCCAGGCCTAGGAAAAGTCCCTAAGTTACTAGGCTGGAATTGAATTTGAGATCCTCCCGCCTCAGGTTCCCTGAATGCTGGGGTAACAAGCATGTAGAACTATGACAAGATCCTCATAAGGATTTTTAATTAAGAAGAATATCTATGTATTTACATAAATCTTTCTCTAACTCTGCGAATAGAAGATATGTCCCTATCCAAGAAAACATAAGACTCTAGAAACACAGTTCTCAGGAAGAGATAAACTTCTGAATCTTGATAAATAAAAAAATTACAATATTCACTTAATGAATAAAATTTGTAACTGAGAAAAGATACAGTGACAGAGTGATCTACCCAGAAATACCTCTAGCCCACAAGACTGCTATATGGTATTTTAGTAAGGCAAAGTATTTTTTTTTTCAATTTTTATTTAAACACAATGACTGAGGCTTTTGAAATCACACCTGAATTCAAAACAATTTGAACTGAGAAAATTTCTTAATTCATCCAAGCCTCAACTGTAAATTGAGGAATTCCACATTATAACTACATCAGTGCTTGAGAAGCAGTTAAGGCTCAGTATAAACACTCCATATTCAGGGGCCCCCCATCAAGAGTACTTAATTTGATATAATTAAGCATTTTGGGTCTTTTTTGTTATTGTTGCTTTCTTTCCCCCCAGCAGTGCTGGGGATCAAACCCACGGCCTCAGACATGCTAAGCAAGGACCTATACCACTGGGCTATAGCCCCAGGCCTTTTAATTTCATTTGTGAGACAAAGTCTCAAATCGCCCAGGCTGGCCTTGACTGTGCATACCTTCTGCCTCACTCGTAGATGTGATCACAGTGGGTGCCACAGCACTCAGCTTCTGTATCTTCTTATAAAGCATGTTAGATTTGAATGGAAAGCAACTCTCCTGTCTTACTTTCACAAGTACACACAAACACTGAAGTGTTTCATCAAAGTAAGTGCAAAGTGAATTTAAAAGTGAAATGTAAAAGCTAACTTCGAAAAGGGGGGCAACATCATGTTACATGACTATAGAACTGCAACTAAAAATTAAAAAATATGACTAGGAAAATGAAAATCAAGAAAAAGGTAAACATAGACAAACACAACAGTAAAATTAAAAGTACCATTTTATACTTCTTAGGTTAGCAAACACCTAAAAATTATTCCCAGGCTATTATAAATCTGGGAAACATCCTTTACTGAAACTGTACAAAATCGTGAAACTCATATTCCCACATATTAGCAGCATTTATAGAAGTCAAGAAATGGTAATAAACCTAAGTCGGGCAAATAAGAAATTGTGATGTACTCACTATGCATATCACAAAGAAAAAAAATGTTGCTCGTTAAATGGTGACACATGAAATAGAACGTATCCCAATTTTCAGAGTTTAAATGTGCATTTTAGGATCAACAAGTACCAAATTCTGAAAATGCTTTTACAGAATGGAGGGGGGAACCCATAACCACCATAGCAACAAAAGCATATTTTAGGCAAGTCTGTAGACTGGGCACTACTCTTTCAAACAACACATATTAATACCAGTAGAGCTCCTCGACAGTTTACCCATTTTGAGACACACACAGAAATAAAGTTGGGGATGCAGCTCCCTTGTAGAGAACGTGCTTAGCTTGCACAAAGACCTTGGTTTGATTCCCATTACCACCCCAAAAAGGGGGGAGCACATAGAGACTAAAGTCAAGATTCAAATCCAGGCAGCCCTGACTTCACACAATGATTTTAACTGATAACAATACAGATTATTACAACTGTATTGCAAGAAGTACAGGGATATGGGCTGGAAGGGAACATGATAAGCTAAATTATCCAGACCAGAGAACTTTTTTCTTTATAAACCATTGTATTAAAAATGCTACTTTAAGTTGGAGTCAAAAAATTGTAAAACCTGGGGTGTAGGCAACAGCTCGGGGGTAAGTCAGGTACTTGTCTTGTATGCACTGAGGCCCCCGTTCTAGTCCTAGTAACCCCTGCCAAATACACATATACACACACACACAAAAACCCTTTGAAAAAAGGATATACAGTATCTATTAAATTTTTCAAACCAGAGTATAAATGTCAGTGTCTAATACATTAAAAGTTTAGCTTCATATGCCAATATTTACTTAAATTTATGTAACTACTCAACATTTTCTTTGATTATCATCTTTTTTTGAGCTTTTCAGATAGTCTTGCATAGTTCAGGCTGTCCTTGATCTCAGTGATCCCCATGCCTCAGGCTTCCAGAAGTGCTAGGATCACACACATGTGTGTGCCACCACACCCTGTGCTCATCATTTTCTTGCATCTCAAACCTTCTGTAATCTTGGTTCTTTTTGCCCTAAGGAAAACATTCAGTATTTTTTTAGTAAGTTCTCTCAAATTGTACTTTCTCTAAAAATATCTTTATTGGTCAGGTGTGGTGGCACACCCCTGTAATCCCAGCACTTGGAAGGCTGAGGCAGGAGGTCTGTCATGAGTTGGAGGCCAGGCTTGGTTATGTAGTGAGTTCAAGGCCAGCCTGAAATGAACTATATAGTGAGACTCTTGTCTCAATAAATAAATAAATACATACATACATATCTTTATTTTTACTCTATATCCTTGCTATATCCAACTTAAGCATATTAAAGGCAATTCTGCTTCTTTCTGATTTTTTGGGGGGGGTACTGAGAATCAAACTCAGGACCCGGCACTTGCTAGGCAGGCGCTTGTGCCACTGAGCTATAGCCCCAGCTTCTTTCCGGTTTATATTTACTGCTAACAAGAAAGCACCTTTCAGTCTGCCATTCTTCTTTTTTTCTCTCTTGTTGCTTAATCTTTGCCAATGATATTCTACCACTTGGCAAGCTTTGTCCACACATGGACTCTTGGACTTGGGGTGCAGTTTGGTGGCAGAGCACTTGCCCAGCATGCATGAAGCCTTAATCCTTGTCACCAAAAAGCGCAAAATTCTTTTTATTGTACATGGGATTCACTAAGCTCCATA